TTGACATGACACAAATGTTGCATGTGATGACAGCTTAGAGTCCTGAGATGACCAAACCTGAGCTTTGCAGGCTGGACAGAAACACAAAGCCAGAAAGCAGTCACTGCAGGTTTTCAGTTACTGCAAACGTTATACATTATACATTCCTACTGCATGATCATTTTTACAACAGAAATCAAAAGGTCAGATTCTGGTCTTATTCACTATGACCAAATATAGTGTGTTTTGTCTTCGTAGAGCAGTATGACTGTTACAATGAATAAAAAACCCTGCTCTCACTTGCAAGGGTGCGTTAACAGGGTTTACAGTAAAGGTCAATGATTTTGATATTTGACACACATTTTCAACTAACAGAAGAACTGGCCCTGACACACACACACACACACACACACACACATTCACACAATAACATACAAACAGCATGGGATCATAGGCGTCAGTTATTCAATAAAGTAGATCCCCCATTGAAGTACAAAGGCTATCAGATCAATCACACCCACACACACACATATAAGCACACACACACATACACAGCATGTGATTGATGTGCAGCTCAGAGGCCACAGTGCTCCACCGACGTCCTCAAAAGAAAAAAGAAACATCGGCCACTCTAAACTATTTGTTATTGATCTTGTTATTGTTTCCTGCCTGTGGCTCTAACAACACACATGGACACACAACAGTTCTACTGAGAGAGAAACAGAGGGAGGGAAGGAAAGATAGCAGTTTTAATTAAATCTTCCCCCTCCCTAATGGATTGACCCAAGCAGACACAACTGAGCCCACAGGTGCATCCTCATGCAAAGTTGCTGTCCTTGTGCCAACCCACACACACACACACACACACACACACACACACACGCACACACACACATAGACACACCCCCAGATCAGAGTGCCCGTCTTTCATTTGTTGTGTTTGTTTTGAGGATGTGTCTTCTTTTCCTCTAATCTCCAGGCAGTTTAGTGTGCGGGGATCCTTTGTCTGTTCTAATTGGTCCTGCTGGTTGGGGTTGCCTTGGAAACCAGTTTAGAAAGTGTTGGTTGGAGATCTGTCAAAGGTTCGGATAAGATTGGCTGTAATGGCCTACTGTAACCGACACTGTACCATTGATGCAAATAGACGTGTGCTAACGCTAAAAATAGTGAAGTGGCTTGCTATTTATAGTCTTCTGTTATATTTCTGAGTCAGAGAAATTCCATCTTAAGTAAACTCCAATGACAGCTCGAATAAACTGAACACGCAACATGCTGCATTAGGTCATATCTTTTTGAATACAGACTTTGAGGATGACTGGCATTCAAAATGATCCATTACTTGTAAAGTTAGAAGGATCTGTATTATTTAAATTGGAGGAGCCTGTGTTGGTGTTGGTGTTGGTTTGTGACAGCGGGTATCACTGTTGCATGCTATCTGCCATAGTAACAAGTCCCCCACAGGCCTAAATCTGTCTCTGTGAGCTTTGGTAACAAGCGGCGTGTCTGAGTCTGTCAGGGTGTAAGCTGATGGCACATGTTTTATAAGCTTGTGTGGACTATTATATTTGTAGGATATAATACTTCAGCTACTTGAGGTGCAATTAACCATGAGTGGATTGTGTGTTAAAGTGATTTCTTGTGTACTTCAATACACTTGAGGGACCTGTGAGAGGCAGATCTAAAAAAGAAAAAAAGGCCAAAATATCCAAACTTTAAGTAATTTTCTAAAAACGCTCAAGCCTACATTTCATTGTTGTACATTGTTTTTTGACCTTCAGTGCCTGGTAGCCACCACTGACATTAAATAATTACTGGACATAACTTCCTGGTCTGAGAAGTGAGGTTAATTGGCCAGCAGGGGTCAGCTCCATTGGTAGACAAAAAATGATCCCTACTTCTCAGTTGGTTTATTAGCTCAGTAAACAGTTTCCTAATGAGTTTATGGTCTGTTCATTTTGTAAATTATGGTTCCAATCAGAGGAAAATAGACAGCAAAGCAGGGTATGTTTTAGCATGTGGCTACCCTGTCATTCTCAGTGAATCCATCCAGCACTAATATGAGACCAAACTGTCAAACTTGGCAGTGCTGATCAAATATGAATCAAGATTCTGCCTAAAATGTTTTAATTTAATTTATTGTTGTGTAATAAAAGTGTGTGTATCCAGACAAGCCGCCATTGTGTCCTGCTCCTGCTACAGATGGTTTGAAAATGAGCACAGCCCAACTTGTGTACATCACCACCATGGATGTATAAAGAGAACTGGATACAGCGTTGGAGGCGGCACCCCGTTCATTCCTATGAAAGCTGCTCGGTGAATGAAGCCAAAAGTCAATTTTCTGCTGTGAGATGAATGCATACTGCCCATGGTCTATGGCCACACTAATCCATACCATTGACAGTATATATAATGGACAGAGCCTCCAGGTCTGAAAAGTGAAGCCAACAGGGAAGTGTCTTAAAACCTGCATTCTATGTCAAGGCCAGCAGGGGGAGCTCCATTGGCTGCAATAAAACGGCAATTGCCGTACATTCACTTGAATGTAGAATGTGCCGACTTGTCACTTCATTTATGAGCTCAGTAAACAATTTACTAACGGGTTTACGAACAGGTCAAAACTGCGCAGCCAATGAGAGCAGATCAAGTAATGGCGGCAGGCTTAAAAAACGGTACTCCACAAACCAATGGATGATGTGACGATAAGTCAAGAACAGAGACTTCCACTCGCAGAGCGGCTAATTTTTCAAAATGTCTTTCACAATGTATCGTTATGGGAAAAAATATTTTCAGGCCAGTATGCATCATGTGACAGCCATTATGTGATGAATTGCCTTTAAGGCCTCTTGCTCTTCTCTGGCCTACTCCTAGTAGCAAAAAACAACATGGCAATGGCCATAATGCCAAACTTGATGCTTCAAAACGGTACTGCACAAACCAATGGGCCACGTCACAGTAGTTTCATACTTTAACTGCACACATCTTTCAAACTCACACCAGATTTCTGCGTTTGAATTGGGACCCAATCTCGTGGGAACAAATGCTTTTGACTTTGCTGTGGGCGGGATGGATGGTCAGATAATACTGCAGTCCCAGGATATAGCTTTTGTGTTTGGAGAAACTTCTCAGCTGTTTGACTGTAAAATCTTTTCTCCTGCCGGAGAAGAGAGGACTATTTGTTGTGTGGGAGTGAATGGTCAGAATGCTCGTGGGAGCGTGTAGGAGTGGACACACGTAGTGGGAGCGGGCGGTAATGGTCAGAAATCCACCGGGAGCAGGAATAAAAACATTTCCACGTAGGGCTCTACTCCACTCCTCCAGTTTTTAAAGACAACTTTCTTTTTTAAAGGTCTAATGGGTCACATTTAGGATAATCTATTGGTAGAAATGGAATATAATTTTCATAGCTACGTTTTCATTAGTGTATAATCACCTTAAAGAGCAATTGTTATATTTGTGTTGCCTTAGATTGAGCCTGTTTTTATCTAATGCTGTGTGTTACCCTGGATTCACAAACCAAACACTGGCTGTAGATAGCATCCATACTAAATGCAAAATCTAATCCTTTTAAAGGTGCCATATGTAAGAATATTAGTTTAAAGCAGTCACCTAATAGGACCGCTAGCAGTGATTATTTGTAGGGGGTATGGATTCAACAGGATCTTGCAGTTCTTACACTTAAGGGATAATTTTACAGAATGCTAGTTGTAAGTTAGCCAGCAGTGACTGAGCTAGTTGCTGCTCTAGATTCTGTGGTGTTGACCTTGTGTTGGCAAGAACAGACTCCGGCAGGCTGAGCACTGCCTCGTCCAAGCTGGACAGGGTGTGATACCAGAGAGAGATTATGCTGATCCAATGACAAGCACTGTATGGAGAAAAACAAAATACAGCACTAATTATCATATGAAGTATTATTATTATCATTAACAACATCTTTATAAACTTTACTACAATAAACAAAATTTTGAACATGCTTTTGATTCTATAGGTTGACTCTCCTCACATGACTTTAACTATTTTTAGGCCTGGGAATAAATAAGATAAAAACAAAATACTATAATATCGTTCATACTCAGATGTTTCAAAGACAATCAACAATGGATGGACTACAGGATGAACATAGCAAGACTTATTGTTTAATATTCCATAGATTTTTATGAAACAAGGCTTTCCCAGAGTCATATTCTCCCTGTATTCTTATTTCACTCAGACAAATATTCTTCCACCGCTGCACTAATACTTTGAGGTAGATTAAAAACATTTATCTCAGGTTTTCTCAGACAGCTCAGTGTGAATTATGTTGCACAAAGGCACATAATATCATATCTTGTCACTGAAACAAAATGGTGAGAAGGATGATTGGATGCCTCTATGGGCTCTGAATATTGATCAGGATAGGTTCACAGTTTTTTACTGTAGGAACATTTTTACCCCAGTCTGAACTTTAAACATGTAGTGTGTAACATTTAGGAGGATCTATTTGAGGAAATAGAATATTCATACGTTAGTTTTTTATTTGTGCATAATCACCTGAATATAGAAATCATGTTTTTGTTACTTTAGAATGAGCCATTAATATCTACACTGCAGGACGCCTTCCAGGGAGTCCACCATGTTAAATCGCCATGTTTCTACAGTAGCCCAGAATGGACAATCCAAAACCCTGTAGTTTTTTTCTAAAATATGTTTTTGTGGTTTGTGTTTAAGATATAATCATTTAATGCAAGAATCAGACGGATACTCTTCTCTGAATAAATGAACAAACAGTAAGATTTTGCTTTAAGGATAAATCAATATTTCACTTCATGGCATATTCTTCAGCTTTTACAATAAAGAATAGGAGATCACTTTATATTGTCAACAAACAAAGCGGCTCCTTACTCTCCAGTGAGGTGGACATAGAGCAGCAACCTTTATCTCTGGAAAAGTGACAGACAGCCTCTTTGGTACACCCCACATAATATACCTGCCATAGTGAGCTGAATAAGGACAAAATACAATAAATGATGTGAAACAAAAGAAGCCTCCATTCATTGCCTATTAAACAAACATTTATCTATTTAAAGAATTACATTAAAATCATTTTAGCACTAAAAGTAGAGTAAATGTATATGAATGACTGTGTATTTGTGTAAAACATAGTGGATTGTAGTGGACCAGTGGATTAAATTATCTTGATGTTTCTGTCTACCAGTGAGGTCAAGCACAGCCCATCCGCAGGCCAACTTTCCCCACAACCAGTGCCAACTGCAGATGATACATGCATCAGAAGACTTACAAGTAAGTAAAGAATTAAGGAATTAAGAATTAAAAAAATAAAAAATGTGGTCAGGGGTGCCATGACAAAGTGACCGTTATAGAATTTCACTTCTCTCTAAGTGCATGCAGACTAAAGCTGAGCTCCAGGTTCATCTGAGGGTTCACTATTTTGTAAAGATTGCTGGTAATTTTGGTTTATTACAGACACTATGAACCTTTAAATCTTTGACACAGAAGAAGAACAGGGAACAATTATTCTGTATAAGAAGTCATAAAAATACTGACCACTAGGTGGCAGTGAAATACCTAGTGAAGGTCTGATGATGGTCTTAGTTACATGAAGTACAGTGGACTGCTGGCATCTGCATATGAGGTACAGTATGAGGAATAATACATCTTTATATCATATAGTAGATTGACATTTTTCACAGATACGTTACATAAGACACAATGACAATGATTCACAGACTACCACAATTTGTAGGTATCCTTGTTTGTATGTATTTTGCATGTTCAGTTTGTGCACCCGATCCTGAGGCTCTCCAAATAACAGGGAAGATAATGTATCTTTCATGTGGCAGTCACTGGTTGAACTAGTTCAAGATGAACACTGAAGATGAAATATTTATAACAAATTGCTATGATACACTCATATTATGTTCAGTATGTTAAGGTGACTGTGAACTGCACAAACTACCTTATTTTACTTTGTAAATCCTTATCGTTATTTTATCGTAATACTGTACACTAAATTATGTCAAATTATAAACTATCTGCCTATGCACACTTCACACTTCTCTTCTTATTCTTCTAGGTTTTATTTTTTATTAATCTACAACCTGACATTAAAGTTTAAGGCAAGAATATTTGTCACATGTCTGACCCTGGATGAATGTAGTACCTTGCAAATTAAAAATGACTTTTTTAAAATAAATTGGCAAAGCTATAGCAAGCTTTGCAAAGTTAAGTTTAGTAAATCAATTAATTTCCAAGGACCCAAACGAACATCTGAATAATTAAATGTGAATAGTGCAAAAGTACAATGTTGATAAAATAAAGTAAAAAAAAGGTTGTAGGATGAAGTAAATCTGCTTCTGTGTCTCAACTGTAAATTAATTCAAATAAGATTCATCTTAGGTGCACACACTACTTTTACTAGGTCTCAAACTGCATGGAGAAATATGTTGGTATATTATGTGTGCCTGAATGTTCAAGATCCAACTCAGTTTGTTTTAAGTAAAACAATTTCATACACAAAGAAACATTAAAACAGTTATTTGTCCTGTTACATGGCTGATCCTGGATAGATGAAACACTGTAAATATGCTAAGACACATAATATTATGAAGTTAAAGGTGAAAAGAGTTATATGAAATGTAACAGTTGTAGGATGAAGTAAATCTGCTTCTGTGTCTCAATCCTGAGGGAGTTGCCACTTTAATGACAACCTCAGAGCCCCAGGACGTCTTTCTGCACGTTGCAACCCAACAGAGCGTTTCCAGCTTCCACACACTCCGTCACACATGATGCTAAAAAAACATAAAACACAAACCAAGTCATCATCAGAGCAGTCTGAATGTGGACAAACAGCACACACTGTTAAAAACAACAGATCAGCACTTATTATTGTGGTTGTTACCATTCTGAGTAAGGAGCCATGACACAGCCTTCATAGCCAGAAGCTGCCACTCATCCTGAGCATCCACTTTGAAACCATGAAGCCAGATCAGAGCCAGAATGGTGGCCCACACTTCCTGGTTCACCTAATTCACCAAAGTAAAGAGAAAAAAAAGAAGAGACGGCACAAAATGATAAAGCTGCTCGATGGTCTTACTTCCTTACAATGAAATAACAATAAAATAAGACACTTTAATACTTTTACGTGAACATTTAACTGATATGACAAATTCATTTTGCAGTCAGGTGGTTACTGTATAAAACCACAAGATGGTGCCAGCTCAGTGGGTGTTTAGGAGCTTGAGTATCACAAATATTAGGTCCTATTAGTCATTTGTGTTATTGTGTTTGACAATAACCCACCAATGCAAGTTTCAGGTTCTCCACCTCCTCGCTGGTCTTTCCCAGTGCAGCAGCCAGAGCTGGATCTAGCACCCAGCAGCCAGACGCCTTCTGGAGGGAGACCAACTGCAGCAGAGGGTCTCTGGGTGTTTGTTTGGGGGCAGTGCCTGCATCCCCAAATGGAAATCAAAGAAAGTGTAACTACAGAATAATTGTGGTGCATTATTATACATTTCCTCTTTCATACTGATGTGCAGATACGTTGTAGTTAAAGTTGGTGTTTTTCAGGTTAGTATGCAACATCTTCATATTGTTGGTTGTTGCATTGTCCAATGTATGTGAAGTTCTGGAAAGATGCAGGTTCCCCCTTGTGGTAATTCAAAATAAATCAGGAAGTCATATATGACTATGTTGGCAAGCTACACAGCTTTCTCAAATCAAGCCATGTGAAGATATTAACAATTATCCTGATTCAGAATTATTCCAGAAATTAAAATTCACCACCATAAACTTAATTGTATGTTTTCTTATTTCGATGTACAATAATATCGTATATCTTCACATTCATAGACATGGCAGCTGTGTGCATGTATCTACTTCTTGATTCACAATCTTCACTACAACTGGATAAAGACATACTCTCTGTCTGTGGAGGCTGGTAATGAGCAGCAGCATTAGTCTGTCGAGACCTGCGTCGTTTTCTGGAGGCACCCAATCTTGGAGACCTGCCTGTAGCAAGACTCGCTACTAACGAGGGTTCTCCCAGCACATAGACCAACCACAGGGATTGTTGAACAAGACGACTTTATTCTTTTGACTGCTGCGCACACAATAAACACACAACTGAGCCTGCTTCCTGAATTACGTACAAGTCCGCTCCAGTTGTGTCTCCTCTGTCATGTGTCCAGCCCAAGGGCCAGGACACTACTGCCTTAAAAGAGGTGATTAGTAGGTGAGTGATTAGTTCATGGGTATCAGCTGAATCAATCAACTCACCTGGCGCTGCTCTCACAAGCCTCCCGGACCGCCCTCTCACCTTCACCTCAGTGTAAACCACACCCACCTCCACAGTTCCCTTCAGATATGCTGAGAGAAGAAAAAACACAGCCATAAAGCTTATGCCTCTGTGCTACAGAACTCCTTTATCCAAAAGGAACATCCCCAGTGTAGTTTACAGTGCAGGTGCAGAGTTGTTTCAGAATTAATTAGAGCTTAAAATAAATGATGTGATAAAGGCACTGGATGGAAAGTTGAAAAAGCACCAATGTTATTACAATTCATCCTGAGGGAGACATTAATGTGCAAACCACATTTTATGGTAATCCCTCCAATAGTTGTCAGCAGGTGTATCTTCACTAACCACTTTGTTACTTACCTTTACAGGGAAATGAACGATGAACAGTCTTCCACACTGAAAGAGAAAAGCAGAACATTACACAGAGGCAACAAGAGTAAATACAATAAACTTAAGTGTAATACACGGAAAGAAACATGATTTCATGTTATCTTTAAGAATATAATAACAACATAATAAATCCACGTCAACAAACAATAACTTTTCACTTTACACCATCAGTGCATTATGGCTGGAGGCACTGAAGTAAAGGATGCTTATTCAGCATTTAACATAATCTCTGGCTGTGGAGGCTGGTGATGATATAATTAATGAATGTTTCAGAATTAATTTGAGTTGTCACTAATGATTGTTTTTATTATTGATTAATCCGTCAGTCATTTTCAAACTCATTGATTTGTTGTTTGGTCAATAAAATGTCAAAACAATGTGAAAAATGTTGATCGCTGTTACTGTCATAGTTTTTGTTTCTACTCTTTTTTTGAGAAGTTAAACTGGAGAATTTTTGGTTAAAAAATGGCTCAAAACGATACTCAGTGATCAAACAATCAATATAATAGTTGACGACAAATTAAGTAATTGATTATAGCAGATCGAGAATGAATCCACTGGCCGTGTTCATACTAAAGCAAGATGTCACCCAATGCAATGGTGATGAGACATTTTCTTGAAGAAATTGATCATTTATGGCAAATGGTTATGCTTTTATTTAATGAGACACATTCTAATGATCTGTTGAATGTTAGAGACACACACACACACACACACACACACACACACACACACACACACACACACAAAGACAAACACATAACAGCTCAACCTTCCTCATTTACTGCTCAATGCAGCTGCATATGTTCTCTATGCCAGCGACTACGAGGCAACTATATCATCATCGTGCTTCTCTACTCTATCATTCATGGTGAGCTATAGTGTCTCTTCAATAAGGGTGACCTTTCTCTTGTATTTTTATTGGAAACACTCACTGGGTGTTGGAACATTTCTGCGCACCAGAGGTCCTTGAACCGCCTCGCTGTCCCCTTTGTTGACAGCAATGAAGGCAGTGAAGACGCTGCTCACTCCTGATTGGACGCTGACCTCCACTACCTTCTTCTTCACTCCTTTATCTTGCTCTCCTCTTCGCTCTCTCTCCTCCATCTCCAGGGAGCGAATCAGAGTCCGAGCAGCCAGCCTGTGCACTGTCAATCTGCAGACAGGAGAGAGACATAAACACATTTGTACACTTATTTACCAATTTATGATAACCCTACTCATTATGGTTTTTCCATTCATCCATTTTCTGGACCAGTGTATCCTGTTCAGGATCATAGAGAGCTGGAGCCTGACCCAGAACACATTACTTACACAATTTAGCTTAACTTTATTTAGAGCATTATTCTATTGTTTCTGTGCATCCAAGTATTAGTTTGCTCTTGTCGATAAAATCCTCATGCTTGAAGCAGATTGATGTAAAATCAGTCTAAACCACAAATGACATGGATTAAAGACTTAATGCCATGTATCAGTGCAGTTTGGTGTCACATGTCTCATCCCTTGCTACTGTTTGATTTTATTTTATCTAAATATTCAAATAAACTCAACATTTGTAAGGACAGGACTCAGTGCATAACAGTGCAGTCTGTCCACAACGTGTTTTACCCAGTGTCCTCTGCAGGTTTGAGACTGAAGTGGAGCTGGTTCTGAGAGGGATGACCTGCCACGCTGTATTTCACCGTCACACAGCCCTCTGCTGCTTTTGAACTCTGAGAAAGAATTACAGAGTTAGAAACCATGTTTGATAATGTAATCACATACCTGATAAAAAAATATATATAAGAAATATATATCATGTAGCTGAATCTTGAAAAAATCAGACCATAGAGGTATTTCACTGTGAGATGGTGCTGCTCCTACCTCTCCAGTGAGTTTGGCATAAATCAGTGACCTTTGACCCTGGAAAAGTGCTGTGATTGGTGGAGAGAGGACAGTAACAGAGACTCCCTTTGGCAAATCCCACGTGACTGAGATGTCCACCACAGCTGGTTGCAGAGCAAATCGCAGCGACTGCATCACCTGATGAGTAAAAACAGTTTACAGAAACAGGTTTTACTAACTCATCCATCTGGAACCATTTCACTTTCAGACTGAATACAAATATTTAATTGCATTTTTCTATTTTAAATATTTTCCATATTAACTGTCTTACTTTGGGTTGCATCCTGTCAGTCCCTGTGATGAACTGAGCGTGACCTCCTCCTTCCTTGGCCAACCCGTTGATGAGAGCAGAGCTGGCCCCTTCCCCAATCCCAAAAGAGAAACACCTACAATACAGTAGTTTTGTTATCAACACACACATCACTACAGCATGAGTCATATTCTGGGAATTGTGTGGGTTGGTTTGTGTTTTTGTGGTTTCACCTGTGGGAACCTGAGTTCTTCTTCACCAGACTGATAACTTCTTTGGTGTTCCCCACCTCTCCGTCAGTAAAGACAAACAGCTAGAGGAGAGTTTACATGTCACTCTACAGTAGATTACATAACATCACACACAGGAACATGTAGCATGTGTTTAAAGTCATCCATATAATTTTTGGAGAGCTGTGTTAGATTGCTGTTTCAGTAACACAAGAGTAAAGAACAAGATGAACCTGAAACCAACAAACAAACCTGTTAGTTCAGGAAGAAGTTCTGCATTGATGACTGAATGGTATGATATTGTTACTGGCAAGAGATATTTGAACTGTTTAACATGTATGTATTACTTGTCTAGGCTGATTGGGAATGCAGGGCTGGCTGTAAATGTGTTTAAGAGGATTCAGGATCTCTGTTCCACCCAGATCAGCACCCATCTCTTCAACTGTCTTCAGAGCCTCCTCCATGGTCTTCTGGCTGTACTCCACACTCTTACTGTGATCAGAAACACACACTGTACATGAACACATCACCAATTCACTCAATCATGTACAAGTATTAATTAGTCCATTTGTTGGACTGAGTGTCACAAGGGAGTGACTTACGGGAAGATGTGTTGATAGCTGTACCCAAAGCTGTATATGTTGAAATAGCACCCCATTGGTAAGCTCTTCAACAGCAGCAGCAGAGTATCCTTAAGGGAAGAGAAAAAAATATAGTGAAGGCCACTGTGTGAGAGAGACACCATGAATAATTTAAAAACAAATTACACTTAATAAATACCCTGGCACTGCCAATGCGAGTTTCTTGCCTCTTGCTGCGATCCATAGGACAATCCATACTTCCAGATCGATCCAATAAGAACACAAACTCTCCACATGAGGCGACTGAAGACATCACAGCCTGGGGGAACTCAGGGTACAGGTTCAGCATCACTACTGGATCACCCATCAGAGTGCCTGAAACACAGAGGAGAGACAGAAACATGACCACTAATCTGACTTTTACCATTTATTACAACATAATGTAACTCATCAGTTGGAGTATAACAAAGGCTTTATTTGGAAAGGAACAACTCCACTAATTTGCACTCACCAGGCTTGGCAGAGGCCTGTCCTGCCTCCACCACAGCAATGGGCTGGTGGGCATCTTTGTAATAGATCAGCAGTTCAACATCTCTGTCAAACTTGTGTCCTGCAGCCAACTTGACCTGCAGGTCGCAAAACACACTCATAAATATCAATAAAGTGATATATCTTGTTGTCAGTATTGAGGAACAATCACACACAGCAGACACATTAGCACTCTACCTACCGTGGCCTGGGTTTGCTCTGGGTTGAGGTACTGGAGAGGGTCCAGGGAACAGTTGGACTCTACTTTAGAGACTGGACGAGGAGAGGACACTCGGGCAGAGAAAGACAGACTGTAGGGCACCAGAGAGGCTGGAACAGAGGTCACCTGGACACTGGCACCTTCACTACCTCCACTTCCTGCGAACAAGTTAGAAATGCCAATCAAAAACAATTAAATCATATCTAAGCAGCAGTGAGACAGTAGAAGGAATAAAATGTCTACTTTAAATAATAGTTAGCAGTAAAACTAGGTCAAAACGTAACATATTGGAAACATTTGACTTGCTGGTGGTGCTCAAGGAAAAGTCAGTGGCTCACCAAAAATATCATTTAGGTTTCATCTTCTTGGCACCATGGATATCTGTACCAGTGCGTGAATTGTAATCGATCTTTAATTGTTCAGACATTTCACAAAAAGCCAAAATTGTCAATGTGCTGGGGTGCGAGTGTCTGTTCTATTGGCCATCAGTCAACCAGTTGTTGAGATGTTTCAGTCTCAGACAATAACATAAAATATTCAGCCCTTTGTCTCCATTTCAAACAAAACCTAATGGATGTTTGTATGAAAACACTGAAAGTCAATATGAACACACTGTTTCCAGCTCAGCCCTCCTTCAAATTACTGAAATTAATAGAAAGACATAAAATGTGTGTTACATTGTTTAGAAACCAGCTCTTGCAGGGCAAGTGCTCTGCAGTCACAATGTGACTGTTGGAATAAAACTCTTTACATGGACAGGAACTTGAAGGGCTCCTGTTGAAGGTGTGGCTGTTTCCGTACCCTGAGGTTGGTAGCGAGGGTTAAGCACCGCAGGCAGACAAAACCTCAGCCCGTCATCAGCCTGCACAGCCAGCTCAGTGACATACTCCAGCCTGATGGAGGCGCTCTCTCCTGGAGGCAGACTGCCCACACTCAGAGAGAATATATCTGGACTCTGCTCACTCTCCTCCAATAGGAAGGCCTGCTGACCGGAGCTCAAAGCATCATCATACTCCTCACGAGCCTGGAGTACAGATGACAGAGTAACTTTCATTGTGTTTACTGTGTTTTTAAGCTCCGTTGTAGTGAGTAAGTCTTTACTGTCCAGCTCACCTCCTGTTTCTCCTTCACCTCAGCTACAATCTGTGTCTGTCCAATCGTAGCAGTGAAATGACAGACAGCAGCATCTCCAGGCAGAGGGAAGACAACCACAGCCTCTAGTGGTTTGTCCTCCTTGTTCTCATAGTTCAGAGTGGAGACCACTGTAGCCACGTGGTCCCTGACCTCCAGCTCCACCTCCACGCTCTTCAGAGGAACTGACACAGAAACAGAAAGAAACAAGATGAACACTGTGTGTGTTCTGTGGGTAAAGACATTTTTCTAATGCTCCAGGATATTGCTTAAGGTTTCTTCTGTACTGAACTATTGCATTTGAGCCACACTAGAGGTGGACCTGTTAACCAAGCTGATGGTTATACAGAATCAGAATCAGAAATACTTTAATAATCCCAGGGGGAAATTATTTTTGTTACAAACTCTAGATATACAAACAACATATATTATACAAGTAACATATATTAAGAACAAAATATATATATATCTATATATATATAAAAGATCGAATGTACAGGTTAATAATGTGCAAAAAGTGCAAAAAATGATTGTCCGTGTTTGAGTCAGGTTACAGAAGGGGGGGTGTCTGACTCTCTTAGGAAGGCGTTTTAGAGTTTAATGTCCACAGGCAGGAATGATTTCCTGTGGCGATCTGTGGTGCATCTGGGTGAGAGGAGTCTTCCGCTGAAGGTGCTCCTCTGCTGGGCCAGTGTGTCGTAGAGAGGGTGTGTGACATTGTCCAAGATGGACTGAAGCCTGGACAGTATCCTCCTCTCTGCCACGGTTGTCAGAGTGTCCAGCTCCTCCCCCACGACATCACCGGCCCTCCTGATCAGTTTGTTAGTCTGTTGGTATCTGCGACCTTCAGCCCACTGCCCCAGCATGTGACAGCGAACTGGCCGCAACAGACTCATAGAACATCCTCAGCATCGTCCGGCAGATGTTAAAGGACCTCAGCCTCCTTAGGAAAAAGAGTCGGTTTTGGCCCTTTTTGTAGAGCGCCTCAGCATTTCTAGTCCAGTCCAACTTATTATTAAAGTACACCCCCAGGTACTTATACTCCTCTACAGTGTCCACAGGGACCCCCTGGATGGATAAACATGCCTCTCTGTCTAACAGTGTGATACAATATGTGCCTAATGGCCATTACAGCTGATACAAGCCTTTACATTAACAACTCTGTACCTGGTTCCTTCTGTGCAGTTAGTAGACCACAGCAGTTCATCTTTGTACCTGTACAACAATTAACAACATTTGAGGACTTTGTGTTGTAATGATGAATGATAATGACAGTTATTGTACAGTCTGGATGTTCTTCAGCAAAAACAACAACAATATAAATCAGAGTTCAAACTAAACAAATACTAATAATAATAGGCCTAATAAGACACATATTGTTACTATTTATGTTACTATTATTATATTATTAGTTATTCTATTACATTGCATCTCTCTCCACATATCTCCTACATCTACTGTATCAATCAATCAATCAATACATACACTAATCAATATGACTCTGCTCCTGATTCAGTGTTGCTTTGTTTGATTCAAGTATTTTAATATTCACCATTATTCCACTCTTTATTTGTTTCTACATTCAGCTGTCTGCTTGATGGCTAAAGAGGAGACAGAGTCTGAAGATGTCTCACTCTGACGGGAAATTACTGATCAGAATAGAAACAAGCCAACTGGCCTTCTTCTTTGTCATATTTTTATAATAAAATCTGAATATTTCACTAAAGTTCAGATGTAAATTCAAACCCAAAGTGATATTCTAAGGTTTTCCAGTGTGTTGTATCTCATATCAGTGCTTCTGCTCAGATTATTTCAATAAACACACAGCAGAAGAAAGCTTACCTCTGAGGACAGATGTGTCAGTTTTACTGCAGCTGTTGTAAATGTAGAGAGACAACTAACAGGTCTGTGTCTGTCGGAGTAAGAGATGATCCAGATATACATTGCAAAAGTGAAAGTCACTGCTACCGGATGTGCTCGATTTCGTTACAGCCACCAGCACGATAAATTACAGTTTTTACTCTATTCACACACACACACACACACACACACACACACAATACATAGTACTATTTCCCTGCCAAGATAATTTTATGTTAAGTGTCAATAAGACAAAGGTTGTAGGATGGACTAAATCTGCTTCCTTGGAATAATGACTCACCAATTTCAAGCAGCCAGACGGCTGTTCCACAGTATCTTAATCTGGGATTTCCAGTTATCCTGGCTGAATTAAGTTGTGACTCAGTTTCAGGAAAGCACATTTATTCTGTGCTGCCAGCCTTCTCCAGACCACTGGTTACTCCGATGTCAAAGTGTTTTTTACAGTTACTTCATGTTCTTGCCTATATATTTGTCTAATTTTTATTAACCTGCATTAAAATACTCCAATACCTGTACAAATTACTGTTATTATTTTAATATCAAAACACCACAGGTTGGACTGCCTGTTATTGTTTTAACATTGTGACCATTACTATTTTAATAATTTTTCATGTCATATTTCTAGTGTTCTATTATGGTTATGAAGAAAATATAGGCCTGTGATATTGAAAGACCTGGGAAATGAATAAGTACTTGGTTCCAATTAAAAAATCAAACACATTTTCATTTCAGCATCAGTGAATCTGTGATCGACCTCGTGGTCTGTTGAAGAAAGCTGTGAACGTTCATTTAACCAAATGGCAGAAACCAGACTTCACCTCGTCGCTCCTCCTCAGCCTGGCTTGGCCTACATGAAACCTAAAAAGACAGGATGCTCTGACTAGAATAGGTCAAGCCTTGCTTTTTCTGTAATCCTGGATTTTTTTATTCTGTTTTTGTGCAATACCCCTCAGGTAAATTTAATCTGGTTGATTACCCGACTCCACCCACCAGGCTCTTTGAGGGAGACGTGCTCATAGGGTCGTCACAATAGGGATAATAAGGATTAAAAGGAAACCCCTCCCTGTTTACACAGTCAGACATACATACACAAGAAAACAGATCTCATTGTTCTTGTTTTTTTATATTGTTTGCATATATATATATATATATATATATATATAAAAACCTTATAATATAGTTATTTTATTTTCAATTAAATTTGATTTGTATAGCGCCAATTCATAACAGAAGTTATCTCAGGACACTTTTCAAATAGAGCAGGTCTAGACCGAACTCTTTATAGCATTATTTACAGAGACCCAACAGTACCACCATGAGCAAGCACTTGGCGACGGCAGCAAGGAAAAACTGCCTTTTAAGAGGCAGAAACCTAGGACAGACCCTTCGGCTCTAGGTGGATGGTCGTCTGCCTTGACCAGTTGGGGTGAGAGAGAGAGAGAGAGAGAGAGAGAGAGAGAACAGACAGACAGACAGACAGACAGACAGACAGACAGACAGACAGACAGACACCACAAGTAGCCCAGCATTCAGAGAACGCCGTGTTCTGGGGGGGTAATATGGTGCTATGAGCTCTTTAAGATATGAAGGGGCCTGACGGTTACGGGTTATTATTGGTGGTGAGGAGGATTTTAAATTATTAATAATAATTATACATTTTACAGGAAGCCAGTGCAGAGACGCTAGTACAGGAGAGATAAGATCTATTTTCCTAGTTCCCGTCAGTACTCGTGCTGCAGCGTTCTGAATTAATTGGAGCATTATAATGGACTTATTGGGGCAACCTGATAATAAAGAGTTGCAGTAATCCAGCCTTGAAGTAACAAATGCATGGATTGTACTGCATCCGTCTGTGACAGTATGGGTCTAATGTTTGTAATATTACGTAAATGAAAGAAGGCAATCCTAGAGGTTTGCTTTATGTGGGAATCAAATGACATGTCCTGATCAAAGATAACTCCAATATTCTTGACAGTGGTGCTAGAGGCCAAGGTAATGCCATCTAGAGTAACTATATCTTTAGACAGTGAGTCTCTAAGGTTTTTGGGGCCAAGTACAAGAATTTCTGAGTTTAACATCAGAAAATTGCAGCTCATCCAGGTTTTTATGTCCTTAACACTTGTTTGTAAGAGAACGATCTGATAAATATGACCAGCTTAGTGCGGTTCCTTTAATGCCAATTTGATGCTCAAGTCTCTGTAAAAGAATATCATGGTCAATGGTGTCAAATGCAGCACTAAGTTACAGACTGCAAGTACAGAGACAAGTCCATTGTCGGAAGCAATCCAAAGGTCATTATTAACTTTAACCAGATCTGTCTCTGTGCTGTGATGAACAGGATCCTCTTTTCATATTCTTTCGACCCATTTTTTTCCGAAAAGACATTTTTTTGTTTGCTGTTTTTCAAATGTAATTATTGTCCTTTGAGAGGAAGAATCAAAATTCTGCTCATCTAAGTTTATTCAGAAACCTCCTTTGATGATTTTGTGCTGAGAGATTGCTGCAGTCTACCACTTTTTACACTATGTTGATTATTGATAAAGAACTGTACAACAATTAACAACATTTGTGGACTTTTTGTTTTATATTTTTTATTAATCATTATTCAGCTGTTTACTTGTTTATAGTAGGTATGAGTAGATTCGCATTAAAAATAGCATTTCCTCTTTAGTGAAAGTTCGGATGTAAATTCAAACCCAAAGTGACAACAGTATCCAGCAGATATTCTAAGGTTTTCCAGCGTGTTGTATCTCATATCAGTGCTTCTGCTCAGATTATTTCAATAAACACACAGCAGAAGAAAGCTTACCTCTGAGGACAGATGTGTCACTTTTACTGCAGCTGTTGTAAATGTGGAGAGACAACTAACAGGTCTGTGTCACAGTAAGAGCTGATCCAGATGTGAATTTCAAAAGTGAAAGTAACTGCTCGATTTCATTACAAAGAGCTGGAACCTCAAAGCTTTATGTTAGGAAAACTAATGTTTTGTTTTGATTCCAAAATTCCTCAATATAGTGTTTGGTGAAAGGTGACAAGTTACAACTGCTACACTGGACTCTATACACTGTACTATTTCTAGATAATTTTAATAATAATATCAAATTCAGTCAGAGAGTGTTATTAGAAGCAGTTCTTACTCTATTTTTCCTTTTTTTAAATGTCATTTGAAAACAAGTTGAGTTGTTATGACCCTTCTCTCCTGGTTTTGAAATGAACACAAAATTGTTACAATATATCTGTGTCTGATGAATCATATGTTTAATACAGGGAAACAAAGCAGTGCTCACAGAGGACCAGTCTGAAACCCTCTGTAGCACCGTGCCACATGTGGTTTTCAGTTTGTTGACAAGTTGTCAAATGATTATTTATCACTTTTCTGAAAAGTCAGATACTATGATTCAGTGGTGATAAGATAAAGGTTGTAGGGTGGAGTAAATCTGCTTCTGAAGGAGAATCCACTTCAATGAAAACCAGGGCATCTTTCTTCACCAGCTCCTGGCAACCCTGTCGGCGTGTGTTGGAGAGGGTTGCAGCAGCAGGATTGAAACTGCACCCCCAGAAATGCTGTTTTATTAGGTGTGAGGTCACGTTCCTGGGCCACAGGCCTGGAGGTGGTGGGGTTAGCTCTCTGCAGGACCTGAAGAGCTTCCTGGGCCTGGCCTCCTCGTGCAGATGGTTTGAGAGTGGGTTCTCCTGCATCGCTGCACCACTGATCTGCCTGCTGCAAAAAGGAGAGGCATTTTTGTGGACAGAGGAGTGGCAGGTGCATTCACTTGGATAGAGCTCACATAGAGGCCTTATTTCCCCAGCCGAACCCACCCTGCCTTTCATCCTTGACACAGAAACCACAATGTCGGCTCAGGTAGCTCAGGTGGCACAGATAACGCCTGGAGGAGAGAGAGTTGTGGCATACCACAGCAGGAAATCAACAAGACAAAACTTTACTACTGTGTCACCAGGAGGGAGCTGCTCGCCGTGGTCAGCACTGTCCATTTCACAGTCAGGACTGACCACTCAGCCTTGCAGTGGCTCATATCTTTCAGAGAGCCTAAAGGCCAGCTGGTGCGGTGGAAAGAACCTACTACAGGAGAAACACAGTGGCAGGTGGTTTTGCCAAGGGGCCCTGCAGGAGACAGTGCTTCAGGCAGCTCACAGAGCTCCAGGATCCAACCACTTTGTGGTCTCCAAGACGCTGCCTCTGATAGGGGTTCTACTGGGGCCAGCACTGGATATGGAAGACATATGATGGTAGGAAAACCTCCTGCAACCCCTGTGGACCTGCCACGACCTGACTATGGCAGAACTGAGATGCTAGTGACTGTTGACAGCCAGGTTTTGTTATTTTGATTATCTTTAATAAAGAGCAATTAAACCGCCTATCATCTTGTAGCTTCTTACTGAGGGACGCAAGATTCTGTTGTTGCAGCCAGAGACTCAGGCGGACGCTGGAATGCAGATTAACTCGCAGTGGTTTTATTTCTCTGCTTTACAACAAAAACAACAAAGACATGTTCATTCTCTACAGTCTGGCAGCACTTTCTCTCTTCTGCTGAAAAACAAACTTCATACATAAACTGCATCAGAAAAGGATTTGGTTTTCTTCTACTACTTCTACTCAAAACTTGCTGGATCCAGATTAACTCAACAGCCTGGTGGAGAAGCTTGAAAACAGCTTTCTAGTGTCAAACTAGAATCACGTCACTCTGCACAGTTAAAGATGAATAAGTAAAACATGGTTTTCAGTAGTGGGGAACTGTAAATTAATTCAAATAAGATTCATCTTAGGTGCACACATTACTTTTACTAGGTCTCAAACTGCATGGAGAAATATGTTGGTATATTATGTGTGCCTGAATGTTCAAGATCCAACTCAGTTTGTTTTAAGTAAAACAATTTCATACACAAAGAAACATTAAAACAGTTATTTGTCTTGTTACATGGCTGATCCTGGATAGATGAAACACTGTAAATATGCTAAGGCACATAATATTATGAAGTTAAAGGTGAAAAGAGTTATATGAAATGTAACAGTTGTAGGATGAAGTAAATCTGCTTCTGTGTCTCAATCCTGAGGGAGTTGCCACTTTAATGACAACCTCAGAGCCCCATGACGTCTTTCTGCACGTTGCAACCCAACAGAGCGTTTCCAGCTTCCACACACTCCGTCACACATGATGCTGAAAAAACATAAAACACAAACCAAGTCATCATCAGAGCAGTCTGAATGTGGACAAACAGCACACACTGTTAAAAACAACAGATCAGCACTTATTATTGTGGTTGTTACCATTCTGAGCACGGAGCCATGACACAGCCTTCATAGCCAGAAGCTGCCACTCATCCTGAGCATCCACTTTGAAACCATGAAGCCAGATCAGAGCCAGAATGGTGGCCCACACTTCCTGGTTCATCTAATTCACCAAATCAAAGAAAATCAGATTTTTTTGAGAGAAATCAAAGAAGACACAGAATTGAATGGGTAAATAGTTGCATAGTTTTAAACTGTTATTAAATATCAGGAACAATATTATATACTAAATAAAATAAGACAGCACACACAAATACATTCACATGTGCTATTGAGAGCTATGGTCAAAGCCTTTCATAAAAATACCACAGAAGGGCATCCTCACATCCTGACTTTACTGGACACCCCTGACATCATTGTCATTCTCCTATCTTCAGCTCATAATGAACACAGCAGCTAGGATTTCTACTGGTGTTATTAATGCCCCCCCCCAATATTGCTGCTGTAAATTACAATCTACTCACCAAAGTCTACTGCAGACTAATTTCCATAGATTGTATCTTAACTTGCCATTTTATTATTATACATACTGTTTAGCCATCATTAGCCACCAATATAAACCATGCCATGAAATCTGTTAAATTTCTGTTGTAAAATAAGTCCCATTATTAATATGTGTTATTATTTTTGACAGTCACTCACTGCTGAAGGTTTTGTGTTCTCCACCTCCTCACAGGTCTTTCCCAGTGCAGCAGCCAGAGCTGAATCTAGGACCCAGCAGCCAGACGCCTTCTGGAGGGAGACCAGCTGCAGCAGAGGGTCTCTGGGTGTTTGTTTAGGAACAGCGACTTGTGCATTTCCAGCAGACAACTCTGAGGAAAAAAATCAAAGAAAGTGCAAAGATAAAATGATAAAATGCAGATGAGACCATTTGAGCAGCTAACAGCCGGTGTTACTTCAGGATCATATCCATGAGTACTACTTCTAAATTATGTATTTGCCTGCATACTTTTATATGACTTTTACCTTTCCAATTTATGCAATTAAAAAAGTCATGCTGGCTTGACTGGAATAAATAAATGATTGAAAGAAAATTGATAACTGACTTGTACAAAAACACTAAAGTTCATATCTATAAGCAGCGAAACAGCAAACTGCATCCAGTATAAATTTAGTCCCAAGTGAAAGGTGATTAAAAAGCTCATTTAAAATTTAGAGTGTTAACTTTAAGAGAATTCATCCTCACGTGAAGGGTTAAAAAAAGTTATAAAATCCACATTATAGATTTCTTTGAATTTCTTTGAATCATTCATTAGGTGCAATATATTTAAATAAACATCGCATAATTCATTAGTGTAGGCAGTTGGACAGACTCAGCAAGAAAAGACACTGACTAATTATGGGTACCTATGGTAGGAAGAGCACACGTGGGTAAAACTATGGGTAATGAGTTTTAAGAAAATGAATTCCACAGTTATTCATTAGAAAGTACCATCATCAGTCTGTATAAAAAAAATAAATACATGGTAATATAGGGTGGGTACTAATGAAACAAAACAGATACCTTTGACACTGAATGTCTCTCCCCATTCTTCTTCATCGTCAAGTTCCAAAGCATTGTCATAACCATCGTTCTCAAGAGAAAGACAATCTTTTGCAAGCAAAAGCATACCAGAAAATGTTATGTTTCTAATGAAAATGCATCTGTTTTCGAATTACACATTGAATTGTGCAGTGCACCATACTGATGCTGGATCTTGTTGGCCTGTTGTCTGACCCTGGGTTGCTTTATCTGTACTCCTTGCAGGATGAGACCAATTGAAGAGCTCACTACAGCCAGTGTTATTTCATTTTATTTCATTTATTTTTTTTAAATCATGTCTTTACTGGCATTTTTATATACGGTTTCTTCTTTTCCAAGTTATGCAATTTAAAAGAAATGTCATGCTGGCTTGACTGGAAGATAATCTTTAATAAATCAAATAAATCACTGAGAAAATAAATAATAAATAACATAAATGAGTTGTACAAAAACACTAAAGATAAACATTAGTATAAAAACAGCGATATGGCTCCAGTCAAGGGGAAAAGGCTATCTTTGGCACTTTTCAAACCAGAAGAATCCCCTGATCACTTTCCCAGGTCTAAAGACGCTGTACAGCAATCAAAATTAAGATGGTTAAAAGTGGCTTAACATAGGTAGTGATGTCAATAAAATACTTTTTTTTTGACAATTAAGTGGCCATGGTCAAACTTGCAGTACATCAATACATGTTGTCAAGTTTAAAAGGCTATGTAACAAAGAAACAAAACTGATACCTGTGTAGCAGCACTGTAGTTCGTATCCAAGTTCATAGTAACAATCTGCTATATCAGAGAAAAAGCAGTTATAACAGCAAAATCATATTAGATTTTATGGTTCTAATCCAAATCAAGGTGTTTACTAATTCTGCATCTTCATCATCAAGTTCCAGAGCATTGGCATAATCTTCTCAAAAGAAAATCCACTGTTGTGCCAGCAAAAGCATACCAGAATATTTTATGTATCTAATGAAAATTCATCTGTTTTCGAATTATACATTACATTGTTCAGTGCACTAAATTGAAACTGGATCTTGTTGCCCTGTCGTCTGACCCTGTTCTGCCTCACCTCTACACCCAGCAGTCACTCATCTCACCTCCTGACCCTGACTAGATTCAACAGTCTCAGACCCTCGACCTGAGTGGTCTGCCAGAGCTGGAATTCACTAATTTGATATTATGATATTAATAACATCTAATGGAGATCAGGACTCAACCTGAAGACACCTTCGTAACTCTTGTGTTGAAAAGTCAGCCTGTCTGGTGTACAGAAAGCAGTTGTTTCTGTTCTGTCTATGTTTTTTTCTGGAATAAAACCCTCTAGATCTAGAAATACACTTGTGTGTTCAAAAAGCCAATGAACCTTTTACTCACCATAGCCAACAGCACTACACATTAAATACTCTGAAATAAAAAGAGAGTAGGATATTAGATGATGGTCATTACCTGCGACAACAATATCATACAACAGACTGAAAACAAACTGTTACTGGTAAATATTGTGCTAGGGCAAAATAAGTTGATAAAAAGCCTCAAGTTCTATACAAATTCCACACAGATCCCTTTATCAGTTCTAGCTGTGCTACCACTTAATTTCTCTGCCTCACTGAAGGACCAGTAATCATGGAATATTTTGACTATTGAACTATACAAACAAGTGTATATCCCAAAATATCAACAGTAAAACAATAAATCCAGGTTAGTAAAGCTAAACTTGTGTGGTATAATTGGGCAATATTCCCATATATGTAGCTATGTGCTGATATTCGAGTCAGTCTATGTATATGCTCTTGAAAAAACACTCACTGGGTGTTGGAACATTTCTGCGCACCAGAGGTCCTTGAACCGCCTCACTGTCCCCTTTGTTGACGGCAATGAAGGCAGTGAAGACACTGCTCACTCCAGATTGGACACTGCACTCCACCACCTTCTTCTTCACTCCTTTATCTTGCTCTCCTCTTTGCTCTCTCTCCTCCATCTCCAGGGAGCGAATCAGAGTCCGAGCAGCCAGCCTGTGGACTGTCAATCTGCAGACAGGAGAGAGACATAGACATTTATCCATTTTCTAGACCAGTGTATCCTGTTCAGGATCATAGAGATCTGGAGCCTGACCCAGAACACATTATTGACACAATTTAGCTTAACTTTATTTAGAGCATTATTCTATTGTTTCTGTGCATCCAAGCATTAGTTTGCTCTTGTTGATAAAATCCTCATGCTGGAAGCAGATTGATGTAAACATCAGTCTAAACTACAAATGAAATGGATTAAAGCAGAGACTTAATGCCATGTATCAGTGCAGTTTGGTGTCACTTGTCTCATCCCTTGCTACTGTTTGATTTGATTTTATCTAAATATTTAAATAAACTCAACATTTGTAAGGACAGGACTCAGTGCATAACAGTGCAGTCTGTCCACAACGTGTTTTACCCAGTGTCCTCTGCAGGTTTGAGACTGAAGTGGAGCTGGTTCTGAGAGGGATGACCTGCCAGGCTGTATTTTACCATCACACAGCTCTCTGCTGCTTTTGAACTCTGAGAAAGAATTCTAAAGTTAGAAACCACGTTTGATAATGTAATCACATACCTGATAAAAAAAAAATATATAGGAAATATACACTGAACAAAATTATAAATGCAACACTTTTGTTTTTGCCCGCATTCATCATGAGCTGAACTCAAAGATCTAAGACTTTCTCTATGTACACAAAAGGCCTATTTCACTCAAATATTGTTCACAAATCTGTCAAAATCTGTGTTAGTGAGCACTTCTTCTTTGCCGAGTAATCCATCCACCTCACAGGTGTGGCATATCAAGATGCTGATCAGACAGCATGGGTATTGCACAGGTGTGCCTTAGGCTGGCTACAATAAAAGGCCACTTGAAAATGTGCAGTTTCACTGTATTGGGGGGGTCCGGGGGGGTCCGGGGGTTTCCCAGTGCAACACATCTTCTTCGCATAGAGTTGATCAGGTTGTTGATTGTGGCCTGTGGAATGTTGGTCCACTCTTCTTCGCTGTGCGAAGTGGCTCGATATTGGCAGCACCTGGAACACGCTGTCATATACGTCGATCCAGAGCATCCCAAACATGCTCAATGGGTGACATGTCCGGTGAGTATGCTGGCCATGCAAGAACTGGGATGTTTTTAGCTTCCAGGAATTGTGTACAGATCCTTGCAACATGGGGCCGTGCATTATCATGCTGCAACATGAGGTGATGGTCGTGGATGAATGGCACAACAATGGGCCTCAGGATTTCGTCACAGTATCTCTGTGCATTCAAAATGCCATCAATAAAATGCAACTGTGTTCGTTGTCCATAACACACGCCTGCACATACCATAACCCCACCGCCACCATGGGCCCCTCGATCCACAACCTTGACATAAGCAAACCGCTCACCCACACGACGCCATACACGCTGTCTGCCATCTGCCCTGTACAGTGAAAACTGGGATTCATCTGTGAAGAGAACAGCTCTTCAAAGTGCCAGATAATATCGAATGTGAGCATTTGCCCACTCAAGTCGGTTACGACGACGAACTGCAGTCAGGTCGAGACCCCTATGAGGACGACGAGCATGCAGATGAGCTTCCCTGAGACGGTTCCCGACAGTTTGTGCAGAAATTCTTTGGTAATGCAAACCGATTGTTGCAGCAGCTGTCCGGGTGGCTGGTCTCAGACGATCTTGGAGGTGAAGATGCTGGATGTGGAGGTCCTGGGCTGGTGTTACACATGGTCTGCGGTTGTGAGGCCGGTTGGATGTACTGCCAAATTCTCTGAAACGCCTTTGGAGACGGCTTATGGTAGAGAAATGAACATTCAATTCATGGGCAACAGCTCTGGTGGACATTCCTGCAGTCAGCATGCCAATTGCCACTCCCTCAAAACTTGTGACATTTGTGGCATTGTGCTGTGTGATGGAACTGCACATTTTCGAGTGACATTTTATTGTGGCCAGCCTAAGGCACACCTGTGCAATACCCATGCTGTCTGATCAACATCTTGATATGCCACACCTGTGAGGTGGATGGATTACTCGGCAAAGAAGAAGTGCTCACTAACACAGATTTTGATAGATTTGTGAACAATATTTGAGAGAAATAGGCCTTTTAAGAAAGTCTTAGATCTTTGAGTTCAGCTCATGGTGAATGGGGGCAAAAACAAAGGGTTGCATTTATAATTTTGTTCAGTGTATTTCATGTAGCTGAAAGCTTAAAAATCAGAACATAGAGGTATTTCACTATGAGATGGTGCTGCTCCTACCTCTCCAGTGAGTTGGGCATAAATCAGTGACCTTTGACCCTGGAAAAGGGCTGTGATTGGTGGAGAAAGGACAGTAACAGAGACTCCCTTTGGCAAATCCCACGTGACTGAGATGTCCACCACAGCTGGTTGCAGAGCAAATCGCAGCGACTGCATCACCTGATGAGTAAAAACAGTTTACACAGCATTGGGAGGGGCACTGGGTTTTTATTAAATGTATTCACTTACATTTGAAATAATTGCATTTTCATGCAAGTTTTTATATCTTACTACTTACTGAAGATATATTATTTATATCTTACTTTGGGTTGCATCCTGTCAGTCCCTGTGATGAACTGAGCGTGACCTCCTCCTTCCTTGGCCAAGCCGTTGATGAGGGCAGAGCTGGCCCCTTCCCCAATCCCAAAAGAGAAACACCTACAATACAGTAGTTTTGTTATCAACACACACATCACTACAACATGAGTCATATTCTGGGAATTGTGTGGGTTGGTTTGTGTTTTTGTGGTTTCACCTGTGGGAACCTGAGTTCTTCTTCACCAGACTGATAACTTCTTTGGTGTTCTCCACCTCTCCGTCAGTAAAGACAAACAGCTAGAGGAGAGTTTACATGTCACTCTACAGTAAATTACATAACATCACACACAGGAAAATACAGCATGTGTTCAAAGTCATCCACTTTATTCTCTGAGAGCTGTGTTAGATTGCTGTTTCAGTAACACAAGAGTAAAAAAGAAGATGGACCTGAAACTAACAAACCTGTTAGTTTAGGAAGAAGTTCTGCATTGATGAAGAGATAAAGCATGAAGAACAACTAATGTGTGGTGAGTATGAACGTCAAATAAACCGGTTTATCACCTCCCCTGAGGAGGTAATGCTTTTGGTGCTGTTTGTTTATCTTTCAGCAAGTTTATGGAAAAACTGCTAAAACGATTTTCACTAAACTTGGAAAGGTGCACCATGGGACGAGTAATAACCCATAAAATTTTGGAGTGGTTCCGAATCATTGGGCAGAAACACAATTAATTCTTCACGTTTGTTAACATTACCAGATAGGTCAACTGTAATACCAGTGTCTATGAAACAAATATTAAATTAAATTATTAAATAACTGGATTTCTTGCACATGCACAAACCCTGTCCTTATTTAACTAAATCATGTGCCATGACGAAACATACAACCAAACATAACAGCCACCTCAAACACCACTGTCTGCCAGGGGACTGATGGAGGACTTTGTCACATGGTGCAACGACAATCAATCAGATTAATATCAGCAAAACCAATGAGCTTCTGGAAGACTACTGCTGTGTGTCTATTTGGGTGTAAGAGAAACAAAACATTTTAATTGGTGGGCGTTTGTGCCAAATTTGAAGAAAATCCCTCAAGGCATTGCTGATACATTATCACATGACTGTGTGCTGCACACCCAGCCTGTCCTCTCCTGTATCCATCTTCCACCACAGTTAGAGTCTTATTTAGAGCCTCCGTGAATCACTTTGTAACTGTATTTGTAAACTAGTCGAAATAAATTCCTAATTCACCGCATTTAAATGTGAAAATACATGGACTCTGCCTCTGTTTTTCCTCTCACTCGTTCTTCGGCTCGGTTTGTGTACTGAAAGATCCAGAAAATTGGCCAACCCCGCTGTGTAATGTATAGTGTGCGTGTGTGTGTGCATTACTTGTCTAGGTTGATTGGGAATGCAGGACTGGCTGTAAATGTGTTTGAGGGGCTCAAGGATTTCTGTTCCACCCAGATCAGCACCCATCTCTTCAACTTTCTTCAGTGACTCTTCCATGGTCTTCTGGCTGTACTCCACACTCTTACTGCCATTAAGAAACACACAAATGGAGGAGGTGAGGTGGTGGATGGCTGTGCAGCGCAACCAACTTCCACTCTTGATTTGTTATCCAGGTCACAACTGAGGGCTGGGAGTGTGTGTGTGAAAATGAGTGAGCAAGTTGACCGTCTCTGTGTATTTGCAGTGAATGTTCATTGTGTAATGCTGTTTTTATTCATGTGTGTTTTGTTTTGTATTTGTGACTTACGGGAAGATGTGTTGAAACCTGGACCCAAAGCTGTATATGTTGAAATAGCAGCCCATTGGTAAGCTCTTCAACAGCAGCAGCAGAGTATCCTTAAGGGAAGAGAGAAAAGATAGTGAAGGCCACTGTGTGAGAGGGACACCATGAATGATTTAACAACAAATTACACTTAATAAATACCCTGGCACTGCCAATGCGACTTTCTTGTCTCTTGCTGTGATCCATAGGAGAATCCATACTTCCAGAACGATCCAATAAGAACACAAACTCTCCACATGAGGCGACTGAAGACATCACAGCCTGGGGGAACTCAGGGTACAGGCTCAGCATCACTACTGGATCACCCATCAGAGTGCCTGAAACACAGAGGAGTGACATAAACATGACCACTTATCTGACTTTTACCATTTATTACAACATAATGTAACTCATCAGTTGGAGTATAACAAAGGCTTTATTTGGAAAGGAACAACTCCACTAATTTGCACTCACCAGGCTTGGCAGAGGCCTGTCCTGCCTCCACCACAGCAATGGGCTGGTGGGCATCTTTGTAATAAATCAGCAGTTCAACATCTCTGTCAAATTTGTGTCCTGCAGCCAACTTGACCTGCAGGTCACAAAACACACTCATAAAAATCAATAAAGTGATATATCTTGTTGTCAGTATTGAGGAACAATCACACACAGCAGACACATTAGCACTCTACCTACCGTGGTCTGGGTTTGCTCTGGGTTGAGGTACTGGAGAGGGTCCAGGGAACAGTTGGACTCTACTTTAGAGACTGGACGAGGAGAGGACACTCGGGCAGAGAAAGACAGACTGTAGGGCACCAGAGAGGCTGGAACAGAGGTCACCTGGACACTGGCACCTTCACTACCTCCACTTCCTGCGAACAAGTTAGAAATGCCAATCAAAAACAATTAAATCACATCTAAGCAGCAGTGAAACAGTAGAAGCAATAAAATGTCTACTTTAAATAATGGTTAGCAGTAAAACTAGGTCAAAACGTAACGTATTGGAAACATTTGACTTGCTGGTGGTGCTTAAGGAAAAGTCAGTGGATCACCAAAAATATCATTTAGGTTTCATCTTCTGGGCACCATGGATATTTGTACCAGTTCATGAATGGCAATCCATCTTTAATTGTTCAAACATTTCACGAAAAGCCAAAATTGTCAATGTGTTGGTGCGCGAGTGTCTGTTCTATTGGCCATCAGTCAACCAGTTGTTGAGATGTTTCAGTCTCAGACAATAACATCTAATATTCAGCCCTTTGTCTCCATTTCAAACAAAACCTAATGGATGTTTGTATGAAAACACTGAAAGTCAATATGAACACACTGTTTCCAGCTCAGCCCTCCTTCAAATTACTGAAATTAATAGAAAGACATAAAATGTGTGTTACATTGTTTAGAAACCAGCTCTTGCAGGGCAAGTGCTCTGCAGTCACAATGTGACTGTTGGAATAAAACTCTTTACATGTACAGGAACTTGAAGGGCTCTTAATGAAGGTGTTGCTGTTTCCGTACCCTGAGGTTGGTAGCGAGGGTTGAGCACCGCAGGCAGACAAAACCTCAGCCCGTCATCAGCCTGCACAGCCAGCTCAGTGACATACTCCAGCCTGATGGAGGCGCTCTCTCCTGGAGGCAGACTGCCCACACTCAGAGAGAATATATCTGGACTCTGCTCACTCTCCTCCAATAGGAAGGCCTGCTGACCGGAGCTCAAAGCATCATCATACTCCTCATGAGCCTGGAGTACAGATGACAGAGTAACTTTCATTGTGTTTACTGTGTTTTTAAGCTCCGTTGTAGTGAGTAAGTCTTTACTGTCCAGCTCACCTCCTGTTTCTCCTTCACCTCAGCTACAATCTGTGTCTGTCCAATCGTAGCACTGAAATGACAGACAGCAGCATCTCCAGGCAGAGGGAAGACAAACACAGCCTCTAGTGGTTTGTCCTCCTTGTTCTCATAGTTCAGAGTGGAGACCACTGTAGCCACGTGGTCCCTGACCTCCAGCTCCACCTCCACGCTCTTCAGAGGAACTGACACAGAAACAGAAAGAAACAAGATGAACACTGTGTGTGTTCTGTGGGTAAAGACATTTTTCTAATGCTCCAGGATATTGCTTAAGGTTTCTTCTGTACTGAACTATTGCATTTGAGCCACACTAGAGGTGGACCTGTTAATCAAGCTGATGGTTATACAGAATCAGAATCAGAAATACTTTAATAATCCCAGGGGGTAATTATTTTTGTTACAAACTCCAGATATACAAACAACATATATTATACAAGTAACATATATTAAGAACAAAAAATAAATATATATATGAATAAAAGATCGAATGTACAGGTTAATAATGTGCAAAAAGTGCAAAAAATGATTGTCCGTGTTTGAGTCAGTTTACAGAAGGGGGGGTGTCTGACTCTCTTGAAGTCTGAACTGTTGCATTTGAGCCACACTAGAGGTGGACCTGTTAACCAAGCTGATGGTTAAACATGCCTCTCTGTCTAACAGTGTGATACAATATGTGCCTAATGGCCATTACAGCTGATACAAGCCTTTACATTAACAACTCTGTACCTGGTTCCTTCTGTGCAGTTAGTAGACCACAGCAGTTCATCTTTGTACCTGTACAACAATTAACAACATTTGAGGACTTTGTGTTGTAATGATGAATGATAATGACAGTTATTGTACAGTCTGGATATTCTTCAGCAAAAACAACAACAATATAAATCAGAGTTCAAACTAAACAAATACTAATAATAATAGGCCTAATAAGACACATATTGTTACTATTTATGTTACTATTATTATATTATTAGTTATTCTATTACATTGCATCTCTCTCCACATATCTCCTACATCTACTGTATCAATCAATCAATCAATACATACACTAATCAATATGACTCTGCTCCTGATTCAGTGTTGCTTTGTTTGATTCAAGTATTTTATTATTCACCATTATTCCACTCTTTATTTGTTTGTACAGTCAGCTGTCTGCTTGATGGCTAAAGAGGAGACTAAAAACAGAGTCTGAAGATATCTCACTCTGACGGGAAAGTCAACTGGCCTTCTTCTTCGTCATATTTTTATGATAAAATCTGAATATTTCACTAAAGTTCAGATGTAAATTCAAACCCAAAGTGACAACAGTATCCAGCAGATATTCTAAGGTTTTCCAGCGTGTTGTATCTCATATCAGTGCTTCTGCTCAGATTATTTCAATAAACACACAGCAGAAGAAAGCTTACCTCTGAGGACAGATGTGTCAGTTTAACTGCAGCTGTTGTAAATGTGGAGAGACAACTAACAGGTCTGTGTCGGAGGAAGAGCTGATCCAGATGTAAATTTCAAAAGTGAAAGTCACTGCTACACCCACTGTGCGCTCGATTTTGTTATAGAGAGCGCCGGGCGGGTGGAGTTTGAACCTCAAAGCTTTATGTATAACTGTTGTGTTTTGATTCCAAAATTCCTCCGAAGTGCTGCGAGACCTCAATATAGTGTTTGGTGAAAGATGACACTGGAAAGCACAGTTTCATAAAGAGCTGCTTCCTCTGATCAAATGGAGCATTTATAATGTGTCCTACAGCCCACACTAAAATGCATGACAGTTGTTAACCATTCCTGTTCGGCTCCCAGACCGCAGTCGGGAAGCACAGGGGAGAGTTTCCTCCAGGGCCGAAGTTGACGCTAACTTCGGGGCTAACCCCCTTCACTTTATCCTCAGCAGTTGGTAAACAACTTTATTCACCGACGACAACTCACACTGTACATTTACCGCTAAACCCGAGAACTTACGGCTAACCCGTGTCTCTCGCTGCTCTGGTGCCGTTCACCGTCGCACTCGCTCTCTCTCGCTCTACCACACACACACACACACACACACACACACACACACACACGTCACGTTCACACATCACGCACTGCTCTATTCCTTAAAGGGGCAACGCTACTCTTATAACAGTCTTGTTGCCTCCTGGTTTTGAAATGAACACAAAATTGTTACAATATATCTGTCTCTGATGAATCATACGTTTAATACAGGGAAACAAAGCAGTGCTCACAGAGGACCAGTCTGAAACCCTCTGTAGCACTGTGCCACATGTGGTTTTCAGTTTGTTGACAAGTTGTCAAATGATTATTTATCACTTTGACTGAAAAGTCAGATACTATGATTCAGTGGTGATAAGATAAAGGTTGTAGGGTGGAGTAAATCTGCTTCTGAAGGAGAAGCCACTTCAATGAAAACCAGGGCATCTTTCTTCACCAGCTCCTGGCAACGCTGTCGGCGTGTGTTGGAGAGGGTTGCAGCAGCAGGATTGAAACTAAACCCCCAGAAATGCTGTTTTATGAGGTGTGAGGTCACGTTCCTGGGCCACAGGCCTGGAGGTGGTGGGGTTAGCTCTCTGCAGGACCTGAAGAGCTTCCTGGGCCTGGCCTCCTACTGCAGATGGTTTGAGAGTGGGTTCTCCTTCATCGCTGCACCACTGATCTGCCTGCTGCAAAAAGGAGAGGCATTTTTGTGGACAGAGGAGTGCCAGCTGCATTCACTTCGATGCATATATCTCACATAGAGGCCTCATTTCCCCAGCCGACCCCACCCTGCCTTTCATCCTTGACACAGACCCCACAATGTCGGCTCAGGTGACGCCTGGAGGAGAGACACAGTGGCAGGTGGTTTTACCAACTGCCCTGCAGGAGACAGTGCTTCACGCAGCTCACAGAGCTCCAGGATCTGGCCACTTTGTGGTCTCCAAGACACTGCCTCTGACAGGGGTTCTACTGGGGCCGGCACTGGACATGGAAGACATATGATGTAGGAAAACCCCCTGCAACCCCTGTGGACCTGCCACGACCTGACTATGCCAGAACTGAGATGCTAGTGACTGTTGCCCCAAAAAGTCCATTAAGATGCTTCAATTAATTCAGAACGCTGCAGCACGAGTACTGACAGGAACTAGGAAAAGAGATCACATCTTTCCTGTACTAGCTTCTCTGCACTGGCTCCCTGTAAAATTTAGAATAGAATTTAAAATCCTCCTCCTCACCTACAAAGCTCTTCATGGTCAGGCCCCTTCATATCTTAAAGAGCTCATAGTACCCTATTAACCCTCTAGAACACTACATTCTCTGAATGCTGGGCTACTTGTGGTTCCTATAGTCTCTAAAAGTAGAACAGGAGCCAGAGCCTACAGTTACCAAGCTCCTCTCCTGTGGAACCAGCTTCCAGTTGTGGTTTGGGAGGCAGACACCCTCACCACATTCAAGAGTAGGCTTAAGACATTCCTCTTTGATAAAGCTTATAGTTAGGGCTGGATCAGGTGAGTCCTGAACCATCCCTTAGTTATGCTGCTATAGGCCTAGACTATCGGGGGATTTCCCATGGTGCACTGAGCTCCTCTCTTCCTCTCTCTCTCTTTCTGCACTCATTCATGTTCCATTAATGCATGTTACTAACTTCACTTCTTGCCCGACTTCTTGTGCTTTCTCATCTTGGAGGTTCTCATGGATCCTGGTGGAGCCTGCTGCCATATTAGTGCTATTATTATTATTACTATAGTTACTATTATTACTATTGTCACTGCTCATTGTCCCCCTTAATTACATCAATTACTAATAACCCACATCTACTAGTCGTTGCTGAAAATTGTCGAAAAAAAATAAAAAAAAAAAAAACGTCATCATCTTCTTCATGTTCATCATCAGTCACTACTATTAGTGTAGTTGTTGCTACTGTTGTTGCTGTGCAACTGTCTGTCTGTCTCTGTCTCTCTCTCTCTCTCACCCCAACTGGTCGAGGCAGACGACCACCCACCTAGAGCTGAAGGGTCTGTCCTAGGTTTCTGCCTCTTAACAGGCAGTTTTTCCTTGCCCCCCATCGCCAAGTGCTTGCTCATGGTGGTACTGTTGGGTCTATTTGGAAAGTGTCCTGAGATAACTTCTGTTAGAAAATTGAAATTGAATTGAATTGAATTGTTGTTGTTGCAGCCAGAGACTCAGGCGGACGCTGGAATGCAGATTAACTCGCAGTGGTTTTATTTCTCTGCTTTACAACAAAAACATCAAAGACATGTTCATTCTCTACAGTCTGGCAGCACTTTCTCTCTTCTGTTGAAAAACAAACTTCATACATAAACTGCATCAGAAAAAGATTTGTTTTTCTTCTACTACTTCTACTCAAAACTTGCTGGATCTAGATTTACTCAACAGCATTACCTGGTGGAGAAGCTTGAAAACAGCTTTCTAGTGTCAAACTAGAATCACATCACTCTGCACAATTAAAGATGAATAAGTAAAACATGGTTTTCAGTAGTGGGGAACTGTAAATTAATTCAAATAAGATTCATCTTAGGTGCACACACTACTTTTACTAGGTCTCAAACTGCATGGAGAAATATGTTGGTATGTGTGCCTGAATGTTCAAGATCCAACTTCATTTTTTTTTAAGTAAAACAATTTCATACACAAAGAAACATTAAAACAGTTATTTGTCTTGTTACATGGCTGATCCTGGATAGATGAAACACTGTGAATATGCTAAGGTACATAATATTATGAAGTTAAAGGTGAAAAGAGTGATATGAAATGTAACAGTTGTAGGATGAAGTAAATCTGCTTCTGTGTCTCAATCCTGATGGAGTTGCCACTTTAATGACAACCTCAGAGCCCCAGGACGTCTTTCTGCACGTTGCAACCCAACAGAGCGTTTCCAGCTTCCACACACTCCGTCACACATGTTGCTAAAAAAACATAAAACACAAACCAAGTCATCATCAGAGCAGTCTGAATGTGGACAAACAGCACACACTGTTAAAAACAACAGATCAGCACTTATTATTGTGGTTGTTACCATTCTGAGCACGGAGCCATGACACAGCCTTCATAGCCAGAAGCTGCCACTCATCCTGAGCATCCACCTTGAAACCATGAAGCCAGATCAGAGCCAGAATGGTGGCCCACACCTCCTGGTTCACCTAATTCACCAAAGTAAAGAGAAAAAAAAGAAGAGACGGCACAAAATGATAAAGCTGCTCGATGGTCTTACTTCCTTACAATGAAATAACAATAAAATAAGACACTTTAATACTTTTACATGAACATTTAACTGATATGACAAATTCATTTTGCAGTCAGGTGGTTACTGTATAAAACCACAAGATGGTGCCAGCTCAGTGGGTGTTTAGGAGCTTGAGTATCACAAGTACAGTGACACATCTCTTGTTTGATTAATATTTATTTTGATTTAATTTGTTTTGTTTTGTGTTGATTTAGTTCCATGTGTTTTACTACTTCTTCTGTTTTATATTAGGTCCTATTAGTCATTTGTGTTATTGTGTTTGACAATAACCCACCGATGCAAGTTTCAGGTTCTCCACCTCCTCGCTGGTCTTTCCCAGTGAAGCAGCCAGAGCTGGATCTAGCACCCAGCAGCCAGATGCCTTCTGGAGGGAGACCAACTGCAGCAGAGGGTCTCTGGGTGTTTGTTTGGGTGCAGTGCCTGCCATCAAAAACATGTATGTTAGGTTAATTCTCCAGTCACTGCCCACCAAGGCACGCTTAGATCTGGAGTTAGTCCCAGGCGCGAATGTTAAAATGTAAAAGGCATGACTCAGTGAAGTCTGTGATACTGACATCAGTATGGTGGGACAGCTGTCAAGGTGCAGAGAAAGCAGTTTAGTTAAAAGAGGGCAAACTATAAGCAGTGCAGATCTGCACTGACAAGATGGAAATAATAAGGGTCTACTTACAATCTTCATTACAACTGGACAACAAATCCTGTGGCTCTGGAGGCATCTGATGTGGTTTCTTCAGGGCACCTAGCTTCTTCCTCAGATTAGAGAATAATCCTGCCGTACTCCCACCTGATTTAAATTTGCTCTTACAAGCTGGCTCCGCTGCTGCTCTGCTGGTGGAGAGAGCTGCTGCAGCAAACAGTGTTAGCAAGAGTGGAATCATCAGAGTAACAGTGATAAGTTTATAATGTCCATGCTGTACAGCCACATGAATATGAGTGGACTACTAGCCATATAGCTGTGAGACAATCATTGTGGAGCATATTTCCAATGGCTGATTCCAAGCAACCAACACAAGCTTGACTTCAGTGCTCTGCCTGAACTATCACTGTGCTTCATTCACAAACACACTTTTTTAAACAAGATTTTAAACTCAATCATAATGTGCTTTTATTTAATGAGACACATTCTAATGATCTGTTAAATGTTAGATACACACACACACACACACACACACACACACACACACACACACACAGAGATAAACACAGCTCAACCTTCCTCATTTGCTGCTCAATACATCTGCATATGTTTTCTATGCCAACGTTAAAGCAGACCAGATCCAAAACAACACCTACTGTACATACAGTATATTTCACATTAAAGTTGCAAATATATTGCTTTGGTTTGTTTACATCCATTTAGTTTTTATTTATATAAATACACAGATGTGTGTTCCACTCCCATTCAGCTCTTCACTTACAATGGTTACTGTGTGAAGCACCACGGGTCTTACACTGCAGTGCACTATAGCAATCCTCTTTGAGATTTAAAGGAAAGAGTATGAAGTCAGTACACTACATACAAATGAGTAAACAAACAAAAATTACCAACCTGTGGTAGTATGCCTCCACCAACCAGTCGCGTTGCAGTTTAGATTTATGTTTGTTAAGACTCATAAATTGCTAAATGGAAGTTATCACTATATTGATGATACATACATATGATCCCAGTGAACTCTGTTTCTAACAGATTCAATAAATAAATCAACAATTTCTTCCAGTCTTGACTATGCAGAGAATAAATGATCTGATAAAGGCACTGGATGGAAAGTTGAAA